GCTCTGGTAAAGATTCAAGGCTCTTGCAATTTATGAGGCACATATGAGACAGCTGAGCAGCTTGTTTGATGCTTGCAGGTATGTTCTTAATTTCGGTCCCACTTAGATCTAATTTTTGAAGCGCAACTAGATTTCCAATTGATGGGGGCAGCTCTTTAACCACGGTACCTGATAAATTTAGAAATTGCAGATGTTCCATAGCCTCCGATATTTCTGGGAAGTGTTGAAAGTTATAGCAACCACTGAGATCAAGGCTCTCCAGATAATTCAACTTCCAAATGCTCATTGGGAGACTCACAAGGCTTTCGCAATTGATCAGTTTAATTGCAGTGAGACCAACAACAGACTCTATTGATGTATTCCTCAATTCTTTTACTGTTGTACCACTAAACGCTAGCAATGTTGTATTCCTAGGAAGCTCCCAAAACTTGCAAAGATATTCGCAGCCTTCTACACTAAAAGAATTCGAGAGTTTCAGCTTACAACTGTTGCTTGGAAGACTCTTAAGATGTTCACAAAATTTAAGATCTAAGTGAGATATTTTTTCGTGAGACCAAACTGATGAAGGCAATTCCTTTGTTGCTGTCCAAGACAAATCTAAGAATTCAAGACTGCATGGCATCTCGGGAAGATTTTTGAGATTGTAGCACCGCGCAAGGTCAAGATAAGTAAGCTTGCTAAGATGTTGAAAATACGAAGGAATTTCAACCAAACTTTTACAACAAGGCAGATTTATATGCTCAATATCCCACACTTTGATATTACACATGCATTTCTATCTTAAACTTCCTGCGTCTTTTTAGTGTGAAGTTTTTTTTTGATCAAATGTTATTTAATTTACTGATATGAAATTTCCCTTGATTTATGTTTTAGTTTGGGAAGTTAGTTTCTTATGAAGAGACTAGGGGTGTAATTTGGTCGGAACAGATCGGAAACAGGTGTCCCGAATTCCAATCCAAAATGTTTCCGAATTGATTTTCAGTTCCGATGTTGATTCCGAAAATGTGGAATATAATAACTTTATTCCGATACGGAAATTTAGGAAATTTTCAGAAGTTACTATTTTCGGAATATTCAGACAATAATTTCGAAATTTCACTTTATTTTAATTTTCTTGTGAATCATGATTAAGCTAACCCCAAAACAAAATAATTTCATACCTCAGATTTTCCATGGTTTCTAGGAGCTAGACTTCTTGGTCCTTTTTTGCTTCTTTTGATGGTAGCATACTCAGAGACCTGATTGGTAACTTGAGGGTTGAAATCCACTTCGTTTGTCATTTATAGATCTACAGTAAACATATACAACAATCAGCCAATCAGATCTATTAGGTGAGTAAAAGAAACACAAATAGGGACTTGGGGGCAAACCTGCAGTGGTGGTGGTGGTATTACAAAAAGGACTGAAGAGAAATGGTTGCTTCGTTTCATCTTGTCTCTTCTCTAATGAATAGAATCTACATGGGAAAGAGGTGGTTCATTCTTCACG